GTTTTCATTGTTTTTCTTGACCAACAAGCAAAAACCATTTTATCATTTCTCACCTAGAAATTATTTTGTCAGTTCATCTGTGGTTTACTGTATAAAATATACAATAGTGACATATGACAACTGCTGTTGCTCAGAGTCAGAGGTGATATCTTCTATTGCCTGACCAACTGTATAACACCCAAAGAGTTTCAGTTTACAATGATATATGACAAGCAAAAGCAACAAATCCTATTTGTTCCAGCTCTAATTCATTCGTGTCTTGTGTTCTCAGACTGGATCCTGGTGGTCTGGCTGAACAGAATGGAATAAAGATGGGGGACCAGATCCTGGCCGCCAATGGAGTGAGCTTTGAGGACATTAGCCACAGTAGTGCTGTGGAGGTGCTGAAGAGCCACACACACGTCATGCTGACCATCAAGGTGAGAGTGGTGATGTATAACTCATGGAGCGGCAACATGAGAGAAGTCTAAAAAGTAGTTTTTTTTTAAAAAATCTTGTGCAGAAAAGAATAGAAATAACTTAGATGTTATGCTATACTGTTACTGTTAACACCAGAGCTGATTAATCTAAATATCAGCATGACATCTGTGTTTTGTGTACAAGAAAAAAAAACCCGTTTTTAATTTTTAACACCATACTGAAACATCAAGAGAGCCCAGGTTTTCAGTGGTTCCCATGTTTCCAGCTGAGACAGGAACAGGGACGTAGCAGGAGTAAAGATAAAGAGAAATGCTTCGTGTATAAACTTGAGCTGCTACTAATTAAAGGTTCTGTTTAAAATGAACGAATTCAAGCCTCCAGGACACATTCAGTTTGGTTAAAAGTCATCACTCGCATAGACTGCTTTAAGTTAGTCTCATAAATCCAATGTGTATAATCCTTTGGGACCCTTTTATTTTCTAATGGAAACTGTGTGTGTCATGGTCAGCAAGAAGTGGGAGCCTACATCTACGTGGGGTTGTTTGGTGTTTATTTCTGTGTTTACAACAAGAAAGGTGTATCACGTTCCATGATGACTCTTTGTTATTGGGAAGCACGCTGGTTCTTTCACTAACTTACTGATCGATGTCATCGTTAACTCTCTCACATGAAAACCAAATGACCCGAGCTGTGCGGCTACAGCAGTTAATGCAGCGGTGGCGGTTTGTGTGGCAGGGCTGACAGCTGGCATGCAGACGTAATATTCCTCGCTCACTCTGCCTGTTGGAGCTTAGGTTTCACACGGTGAAAAATAGCTAGGCTGTGTGCATTATTCACCAGGCAGCCAGGATCAGGTGCTGATCAAAGCACAGAACCTGTTTTTGTGTGTTGGTGCAAGTTTCATTTGGGATCCCTCACTTTTGGAAACTGAAACTCTACTGGAGTAAGAAAGCATCTGTCAGAGGTCACTATAGGAGGTCAAGAAAGAAAGTGTGTTTCTGTTTGAGAGTGGAGAGGTGTATGTGTTTGGGTGTCTGTGTGATTCTAGGGTTACTCTTTATCAAATATATTGATCACATAAAAGTTTCAAAGGACTCTACTGTATCTCATCTGCATATGTGTCCATATCTTTACAGGAAACGGGACGATACCCTGCTTATAAGGAGATGATCGCACAGTACAGTTGGCTCAACACGTGTATGTATCTGTTTTTCCTCATATGTTAACACAAGTGTTTCATTATCTGGAAAGCTGCAATCCTGTGGTCCGTTTACATAAAACTGAGTCTGTGAAGAACACATGCTACTCACTGATGTGCTGAGATAAATGAAAGTCAGATGATCTCCTTTCTTCCTCAGTGGCCAATGGTACTCAGAAGTCTTCCTCCCAGGGTTCAGACTCGAACTCGTCAGCTTCCTCTCTGTCGTCTGGGACTCCTGTCAGCTCTCTGAGCGGCCTGTCTCAGGTCATGTTCCCCCCCTGCCTCTCGCTGGGCTCAGATATGGTGGACGTTTGCATCTCCACAGAGGACATAAGGTCAGTTCCATTGTTATTTTCCCACAAGTGGGTTTATCATAAAGCACCAAGAGTTTAAAGAAAATGAAATTCTGCATAGCATTTTACTTGTTGCCTTTTTTAAATGATTAAAAGCTCACATGTACACTTACACAATATCAGATATGATCATGGTAATTATGCCCAGGTCTGAGTATGAGCGAACTGAGACCGCCATCCAGACGGACCTTCCTTCTCAGAGGACGTGTACAGACAGCACTCATAGTCTGGGACCTACCACTCTGCTCAAAGACACGGTGATTCGTGCGGAGGAGGGCAGGGGGAGGAAAGAGTCGCCCAAGACAGCCATGCTGCTGGCTCTCAGCAGACCAAGCCGACCAATCAGCAGGTCGCAGAGCCAAGTCACTGTGGCAGGTGAGGCTCCACAGAAGTGGATGAACAAATGAAAGGAAAGCCCCGAATAAATGAGTGGTGTCATCCAGGATGACAGTGTCCCCATCCATAGGGCACGAGGGGTCAGTGAATGGTTTGATGAGGATGAACGTGCTGTCAATCATATGCTGTGGCCTTCACAGTCACCGGGTCTCAACCCAGCAGAACACCTGACTTTGAGCTGACCTGTTAGACAGTGCTTGTGGCCTTCACAGTCACCGGGTCTCAAACCAGCAGAACACCTGACTTTCAACTGACCTGTTAGACAGTGCTTTGTTGAGTTTTCCATTAATTTGTCACTCATGTCGTACATACAGGTGAAGAGCTGAACCACACTAATGACCTACTGTTGCTTCCTGATCATAGAAATCAAACAAAAGAAAGAGAAGAAGCAGAAAGGGAAGGATCCAGAGAAGAGCACCGTGCAGCGCTCAAAAACCTTCGTCAACTTGCTCTTCAAAGGTGGACGCAAGAGAGACACTTCCAGGGGGCGGTCCAAGTCCCCGTACACAGACAAGGCCAATAAAGGTGCAGTAACTGTGTTTTTATGTTTAGAATTCAGATAGCCTAAACACTTTGGCAGAAAAAAGATTTTCAGTTCTCTGGGTAGACTGTAGAGATGCTTGCACTTTATTGGGTCAATGTCTTAAAAACTAAAAGTTGTGCTATAAATACCACACAAAAAGGAACATCACTTTATATCAGCACTTAACATGAGTTTTAACTGCAGCTGGACTCGTACATTACGTGACCTAGGTCTGATTCTTCTGTGTACGTTTCCAGAGGGACGACAGCACAGCGCGACACCAAATTCAGAGATGCTCAGGGTGGTGGAGGACATGGCCCTCAGGCTGCTGACTGAGGAGGAGGTGGCTGCAGTGATGAAGACGTGCCGACAGGTGAGAAGTTCTGGTCCCATATGTAGATAGACATGCTAATGCTGACCTTCAGTGGGTCTGTGCTTGTGTTTACAGTATTTATCATCGCTTTTAAATGTAAATAATTATTACAGGGGTCTTTCTCATGTACAGTATATGATTGTTGACAGTACATAGCAGAGCCGTCAGTGGAGAAGTTGATACGCCACCTGCTGGCTGTGCTGGACCGACCAGAGAAGCTGCTGCTGCTGCGAGAAGTCAGGTAAGAGGAACATAAAAGGGAATACTAGTTATGTAGGAAATGGATGAAAATAAACTGAATGCAGACTGTCAAATTGGGGAAAAATACCCATTTTGACTTTTTAGAGTCAAAGTTGGTGTCTTCAAATGTCTTGTTTGGTTCAACCAACAAATCCAAAGAGATTCAGTTTATTCTCATGCATAACTGTGGGAAGCAGGGATGCTGCATCAAGGGGCCACACCCTTAAGTTGTTATATATTTATGCCATTTTATTTTGTGTGTTTTAATTTAACTTGGCACATTTCCTAATCTTTTCTAGTCCCTGAGACCAATAGGCTAACAGGTTGTTAAAATGAATAATAAACACTTTATGCTGGTTTCTCCTTTGGTCACCCATCTGTCTACATTTCCATCATAAAGATCGTCTTACTCAGCATCTTATCTGTCTTTTCCCAGAATGCTGCTTCCTCCCTCTGACCTGATTGTATTCAATAACATGGTAACCCCTGTTGAAGTTGAAGCCTACGACATCCTCAAGTATCGTTCAAGTGTGTATGATACATGCTGATTTTGTATCGTCTGAGCCAACATAAACATAAATCAGATACTCACTGAATATGTAGTCCTGTTCTGTAAAATATCATCTCCACATCTTTTGTGCTGTCTGTATACAAGCGTTCCTCCCATCTCTGTTTTGCAGTTCGAGCTCCTCTTCGCTCTCCCACCTCTGGTCGAAAACCCAAACGGCGCCTTATCACTCCCATCCCAGGTCGGTACCTTTCAACTCCACTAGAATATTAACGATTATTGGGTTTTGACAGTTTGTTTCTGTTGAAAATGGTGAATTGTTTTCATGATTGGAAATTGATATTTTTCTGCAATGTCTTTTATAGACTTGAATAAAGTTGAAATTTAGAGACATGTTTAGAGGAAGTTACACTCCTGACCCTCTCAGTAATTGGGACTCAAGAAATGGAACAACCTGTATTTTGCCTCCAGATTACCAGGGAGGCTTTGAGCTCCACAGTGCTGATGAGGTGGAGAAGGAGAGCCACCTACTGGAGAAGCTGGAGAAGTTCAGTTTGTCTGGCCCCCGGGGGTCCAGGGAGAGGCTCCACACATTCAGATCCTTCAGTCCGCTGTTGGACATACCGGTGGACAGATACACAGAGTCCAGAGATCTCAGACCCCCTTCTGCAAGCCCCAAACTCCCCAACTGGCTGCTGGCCCGCAACGAGAATTCCCACCCTCCTCTCCGGACAGACATCAGCACGATTCGCTCCGTCCACTTTGACGAGGATTCGCTGCGCTCAACTTCAGACAAGTCAGACACAGAAAGAGGAAGGTCCCCGTACAGAAACAGCCACTCTAAAGACAAAAAGGAGAAAAGTGGAGAAAGGAGTAAAAAAACACTGTTCACGGTGCAGAGCGCTGCTCACAGGAGTCGGCCATTGTTGTCACAGGTGTTCAGTTCAAGTCTTGATCAACAAGTGGAGATGGTACAGATGAACGGACATCAGACTCCCTCTGAGAATGGACACAAAGGCTCCAACCCTGAACAGGAGTACGAGCTCAAAACCGTCAGCATCTCCAAGACCAAACAGTCATTGGGTAAATGTTTGGTCAAGTAAAAATACTGACTGCATGACATCTTTGCTATTTTTTCTATACGTGGTTTATGTGTAGTTGGCGTTTGTTTTTCCAAACCTGGTGACTAGTGCAGCATGTGATGCTGTAAGTAAACACACATGTTAAACAGAATCCCGTTCCTGTTGATTTCTTGTTGCAGGCATTAGTATATCTGGCGGGATAGAGTCAAAGATTCAGCCGGTGGTGAAGATCGAGAAGATCTTTCCTGGAGGAGCAGCCTCAACCTGTGACGTGCTCAAGGTAACATGACTGTCACTGACCGGGGTTTCTGCAGGGTTCACCAAGTTACATTTAAGACTTTTAAAAGCATTTTAATGCCACATGTAATTTAAAACATTACACAACTGACTTAAATTCAGTTCAATTCAGTTTTTTTTTTTTTTTTGTATAGCGCAAAATCACAACAAAAGTCATCTCAGGACACTTTCCAATATAAATCTAGACCTTACTGTTATTATAGAGGAAAAAACCCCAACAAACTCTCCTTGAGCAGCACTTGGCGACAGCAGGGAGGAAAAACTCTAACAGACGAAACCTCGGACAGACCCCAGCTCTTGGTGGGCGGCCTTCTGCCTCGACCGGTTGGAGTGAATGATATAGAAGAGAGAGAAAAGAAAAGCCAACAAGACAACAATAATCAGACACTGGGCAGGTTGATGTGGCCGGTGACTGCTCATCAGAAACGTAGAGCTCCAGGGCCAGGGCTACCTGCAGAAAGGTACAGGGAGAGAGAGACGGCACAGTTGGTGATGTGTAATAGTGGCATAGAAAAATAAAATGGAGGTGGGAGGAGAGGAGCTCATCATCATGGGACAACCCTCAGCCTAGGTCTATAACTAAAGGATGAGATACACCAAACCAAACTTATCCTAGAATGCAATAATTTCATAGAAACCATTACACACTACACTACGCTGTGGTTCAGGAGGCAGAGCGGGTTGTTTCCTAACCGGAGGATTAGTGGTTCGATTCCCGGCTCGTCCAGTCAACATGTCAAAGTGTCTTTGAGCAAGACACTGAACCCCCAGTTGCTCCCAGTGATGTCACCGGTGTGTGAATGCGTGAGTGCGAATGGGTGAATGGCTGAATAATGTGAAAGCGCTTTGAGTGTGCTGTAAAAGCATAGAAAGGCGCTATACAAGTATAAGACCATTTGCATGGGTCCAAGTGAAGGCTATCCTGTTGACTAGAAATCACTGGTATAGGTACATATTCTTCTAAAGCTTTCTCTTAAGGAAACCAAATTCAGTGCTGCAGATGCCCTGTTGACACACACAGGTACAGAGAATGTGCGGTTTTGTGCCTTTTTCTCTGCATGCTGTATTTTTGCATTACTGTATCTTACCTGACATTCCCCCTCTGTCTCCAGACTGGATTCGAGTTGGTGTCTGTGGACGGCATCTCCCTGCAGGGAGTGACGCATCAGCATGCTGTCGACATCATCCGAAAAGCCTTCAGCAATAAGGCCAAAGACCCCATGGTGTTTGTGGTCAAAGTGCCCAGAGACTGAGTCTTGTCATGAGTTTAGACAAACGCCTTGTGTGAGACACGAAAACTTGAACCCCATACGACACCGCTCTGAAGTCAGGTATGTGACTTTTCCATTCCCATTAAAGTGAGGGATAGTGAAATGGACACTGGCGAGGAAAGACTGAATATATGAGAGGAATTTTATCACAAAAATGCTCAAAGCAAACAGAAGCAACAAGACATTTCCACAAAGCCTGAGCTCATGAAAAAAAACTGCTCCTGGTGCCTTAATTTTATATTGTATTAACAACCATCAGTGTTTACAACTCCCAAATAAGTCATTGATCAGCAGTATATGTTCCTGAATTTTTAAAAACTGGAAGCTATAACTCAAATGCCTTTAAAAGCCCCATGGACTGAACATGGAAAGCAGCTTAAAGTCAGCTGTTAGACCTGAAGAGGGCAGTCAGAAGCTGCAGTAGCATTTACAAGGAATCGTTTGTCAAAACAGAACACCAGTGGCGGGCCGTCAGGGCCAGCAAGGCCTTCTCTGCTGGCCTAAACATAATTAGAAGCACTGACCTACATTTACAACCGAAATTCTAATATTTGTTCCATGAAATTTTATTAATTTATTCCCAACAGTCTGTTCTCTTCATTTCGTAGTATTTCTCTTGGGACTGTTTCTTTAACCAATCAGATTTCATATTCGCCTCACAGGGCCAGCTAGCTGGCCACAATGATGTCAGCATTTTTCCATCCTCTGATTGGTTGGTCAGAGCAAAACTAGAAAAGGGCTTACGATGGAACTGAAACGCAGAGATCACAGTTGCGGTTGTAGTGTAGAGGTTTGGAGTTGTCTTAACTGGGTTTCTTGCTTTAGTAAAAACGGTATTCACCCTCAATACGCGAAATACCTCTCTCTCTGTAATGCCACACTTTATTATATTGCGTTTTTGTATAGCATTGATGGTTTCTATAATTGCGACGTACAGTGGTGGTATTAAGAGGTGAATTAAGTCGGGTAAGTCTCCACTGAAGGCCCAGGTACCAAATGCACGGCCCGCCACTGCAGAACACAAACCCTAAAATATCACCTGAATCTAAACAAGCACTGTAGAATAAATAATCCAAGTTGCCACTGAAGAGAATTACAAGCCAGATGTAAATGATGCTTCACTTAATGTGAACCTTAGAAAAGTAAACTTGGGTGATATTGTTTGATGCAATAATTCAGTGAAAAAGGAAAATATTCCTACAGTACAAGGACTTAAATCTTAATGTACATAATACAAAATGACAGCTATTAAATTCACTTTTTTAATTAAAAACATACGCTTGTTCAAGAAATGTACAGCATGAAAATATACATTGTCTTAATACAAATATTGTGGATTATAAAATTATACAGAGTAACCAGAACAACCAGAACAGGCATTGTATCTACTGCAGGAGCAAAATATAATGTGTACGACGTTGCTTTGGTCTATTCACAGTGTTTTATTTTGCGGGGTATTTACAGGTTGTAATTCTAACAGTAGAGAGGAACACGATGTGTTGTCTGTTGAGGAGGGAAGTAAAAACACTGTACACAAAACAGATCCTCTACTTTGGTAGAAAAACAGCCATGTCATGGTCCAAGTAATTCAACTTTACACCCAACGCCTTCATTCCGTGCATGTTAGACAAGTCCACAGTCTTTTCCCACCTCTTGGATACAGTAGTACAATACTGAAGTATTTTCACTAATTAATGGATACAAGAATGTGTGGGTGGGTTTTACTCTTAAGACACTTTTCTTAAATGTACATAAACCCAGTTGCCAGTTTATTAGGTACATTACCTAAAATGCATGAGGTCTCATAACAGTCTGACTCCACCTTCATTAAGATGATGATCAGTTTTTATTCAAACTGTTTAGATGTTGATTTAAATGTGATCATTTTGGAGGATGTAGGGTCCAAGCCATTGAATTGTTCTGTGTTATACTGACAGGTGTGACTATCATTTTATCCATCCTTTTACATCAATTAGGCTAGGCTAAAGTAACATACCTCTCAATAAAACACAGGCCAGTACAACAAATGTGCAAACTGCAGATAAACCAATACATTGAACATCATCACCTTCATGAAGGTGATATGCTAAATCCGACATCACACAGTTTGACCAAGCTTGGTTGAAATGTGGCTCAGACTATGTGCAAGCAAGAGAAACACTAACCTGCACTGAATGGAAGGTTTGTTCCAGTTGTTGTTAGACTGTAACGTACAGATGCTCATGATTCTATTTCCACCAGCTGTATAATTTAGAGCAAAGTGTCCATGATGCGAGTAGAATTTAACCATTTGTCAGAAGCTTCTAATACTGTCTGCTCACCAAGTTATGTACAGAAGAGAATAAGGGCCACTAAAAGCCAGAACTCAAATACATTTTTATAGTAGCTCTAATCCTCTTCTGTAATGTGTTTAGGCAGGAAGGAATTTGGTGTTCGTCCATATTTACAAATATATTTTGCTATGCCTGTGAGAGGGTAGTAGTACTACAAGCTGGTCACGATGCACTTAGAGCTGACAGTAGCCAAAGGTTTGGACACACCTGTTCATTCAGTGGGTTTTCCTCAGTTATTTTCTACACTGCAGATTAATACTCAGGACATCAAACCTATGCAATAAGCAGCAGGTGTTTGCCTTGATAGTGTGCAAAGCATGAATATGAAACATTTTGCTTTAACACTTGTTGCTCACTACATAATTCCATATGTGTTATTACATAGTTTTGATGTCATCAATATTAATCTGCAGTGTAGAAAACAACTAACGAAACCCCACTGAATGAGCAGGTATGTCCAAACCTTCGACTGGTATTGGAAATACAGTTCTGAAATGGACAATAACCTAATCCCCTCCACATCATTCAGTGAAACCGCAATCCTTAGCGCCTTGTTCTGATTTGCTCACTCTTAGCACAACATGCTGAATGTGTGGTAACCCACGAATACTGTCTGCTGACACCAGTGCATCTCACTCCCTCTAAATGAACTAATGAGCGCTGGCTGCTAGCAGAGTGGGAGTGTAGTGCTAAACCCAGTGGGGGAGGTGGAGTCATAACAGTACAGGAGGAGGAGAGTGAAAGGTTCGTGAAGTTACTCACACAAGTGTCTCAGACTGTGGAAGATGGCCCAAATACTGGTGTCCAGTTAGTTGGTGCCAACATGGACACTGACATTAATGCAGGGGCCTACTAAGGACTAACGGAGGGCACTGGCTTTAAGGTGGGACTCCTTGGAGAATAGACCATTGAGGCAGAACTAAAGTGTGGCTGGTTTTACACGGCAGATGTTTTGTTAGTCACCACAACAAGCAGACTGTTTCCATGTACACAGCACAAAACAGATCAGATCTGTGACATGCTGACAGTAGTGCAAATTATATAATCTAGAGATGCTTGGGTCAAATTTCTGTGGCAGCAATCTCATCGAAGTTGATTTCATTGCCGCTGCCTTCGTCATCCTCTCTACTCTCCAGTTCCTGGCTGAGCTCCTGCAGGTGCTGCTCCAGCTCTCGGTTCTTGCGATACATTTGCACATAGTTCTGCTGCAGCTGCTTCTGGTAGTGGATTACTTTGTCCTTCTCCTCCTGCCATATCCTCCGCTCCTCCTTGAAGCTTCCTGTTTGCTGCTCAGCCCGCTGACGCTCAAAAGCCAGCTCGGCTCTCATCCTGTCCATCTGCATCTTCATGACCTGCAGGGCCTCAGCACTGCTCTGCCGCTGGGCCTTTGCCTCATCACTTTCATAGGTGAGCAGGTGCTCCTCGGCTTCCTGAAACACCTGACACTGTCTATTTCCTGGGCCCAAAGCATCGCTGAGATGAACCAGCTCTCCCTGAAGGTGTCCTACCTTTTCTCTGAGCAGCTCTGCTTCGCTCTTGCGACGCTGAAGTTCGTTTTCACACACCTCCAGCTCCAGCGTTCGTGTGCGAGTTGTGCCATGGGCCTCCTGGAGCAGGACCTGGCTGTTTGTCAGCTCACCTCGAGTCTCTCTGAGTTGACCCCTCAGTGAGACAATCTCCCCCACACGCTGAGATAACTCTCCCTGCACTTCCTTCAGCTGCTGCTTCAGCAACGAGATTTCCCCTGACTTCTGACAGACCTGAGGGGACAGAAGCAGTGCCATTCATGCTCTATGCTCAGGGTTAGCAGTAGAAAAGAAGTAATATATTCTGGGCTGCAATTCAGTCATTTTCATTAATCTGATTGGTCAAATAAATGTCTTAAAATAGTCAAATGTCGAGCCTCGTTTTGTCTAACAGTCCCAAGTCTACTTCACAGAAGTAGGGCCGCAACAACTAATTGTTAAAATCATTAATAAAAATAGGTGGCAATGAATTTAATTATTGATTAATTGGGTCTTGGCACTGAGCTGTGTGAGGTGGCCAAGAGCAGACACAACTGGGTTCAACTGTTCCAGTGCTACTGTTCCATATGCCAGTTTGGTAGGTGGCAGTAATGCACCTACAAAAGAAGACTGGGTGCGAACGTTAAGGGCCGTTCACATAATGAGTCTAAAAACGCCAGTTGCCCTTTACATTAGCACAGTATGTTTTATGAACATATAGCCTAAATTATTTTAAATCCTAAAAATGTTTTAACAGTGCGAGGACCTGTCATGCACTTTATAAACACTCTATTCTTGAACAAATTTGTTTGATAATGCACTGCATAGAAAGGTTGCAATAATGTGTTTGTTTTTGTAATGTGGGAAATAGATTTCTACATTTTTATACATCTGATTAATCGTAGAAATAATCATTAAAGTAATTGTTAGTTGCAGCCCTACACAGAATAAAACGTTTTATTGTATTTGAGTTTATCACAGTGACTAAACACTTTTGCCATCAGAGCCTGTGACAACAGCTGAATAAACAATCGGTGAAGTGACTATTTCAAACAGCAGAGAAATCAGTTTGTTATTGATCTGGATCTTATACAGACAGAAGCAGCCTGTGCTATTGGTCTGTATGACTGATTGCCAAACTGCACCAAAGAAATACTAATGCTCAATTCTGGTTGTTTTGATAAAGGAAATAAACGTATCCAAAAATATGCCTGAGTTTGACTGATGCACTAAAATAAGTCATGGTATAATAAGCTCAGTGCTTAAAGCAACTTGTGGTTGGGCACGGATGGGGAAATAAAATCTAAATGGATGTGACTGTGAGGAACTTTACAGCTCACACGGTTTCTTTTTATTGTGATCATTACTGAATAAAATATGTATCTGAACTGAACAAGTGCGTGAGTATGTTGTGCTGCTCACCTCCCACTTGGTCTCCTCCAGTCGAGGCCCCAGCTGGATCTTCTCATGCTCATAGGAAGTGCAGCGCTCCTCCAGCTGCTCCCTCTCCTTCAGGAGCTGAGCAAAGTCCTCCTGCAGCTTCTTCTTCTCCTGCTGGAGCTGATAAACCTACAGCCACAACACGTCAGTGTTATTACTCAGTCAGGCCACAGACTCTGGTTTTAGCGCCCATTTTACCTTAAAAATTATCCCAACGAGTTCAGTGTAGTACATCGACTTTACATTTAGGAAAAGATAGGATCAGCTGAAACATCAACATAAAATGAAGATGGATTAGGTCAGCTAGACCGTGCAGCCACTAATAGGTACAATGATAATCATCTCATAAGGATGCCATAAAAACTGGGTAAAAATTGAAGAAATACAGAGAAGGATCAAAATTTTTGTGAGATGATTTTTATGGCATGCATGTGTAAAGATGCTGGCATGTTTCCAAATGCTGCTTATTTTGTCACAGGATTTGTAATTAAACAACCCATTATACACAGAAAGATGACTCTTGTTGTCACTTTTGTGTCTTGATGCCTCAGAGTGAAGTTCATTCTTGACCTTGACACAGCAGCTGGCAAAACCATCTCACTACAGGATCACATGATGTTCTTCAGCAGACGTAGAACAAGTGAGTCACTTGTCAGGGAACTGCTGATGTTCAAATCTTTTTCTGAGAGTTTTGAGAACTTGTCTGCTTATTGACACTGCGGTGAAAACTTTTACCAACTGCTGATGTTGCTGATTATCTGAATGTTCTGGACACATTTTACTGTACGTGTTAAAAACAGAAGCAACGTGTGTAGTAGAGCTGGGTGGAGGTTTCCGTCAGAGGTTCTGACCTGAAGCTGAAGCACCTGCTGTGCACGCTGGGCCTTCTGGGAGGCTGCCTGCATCCTGGTAGCACAGCTCTGCCTCAGCTCCTCCAGCTCCAATTCAAAGCGCTTCTGTTTCTCCTCATAAACCTACAACAAAACACAGTTCTAAGTGCAAATACACAAGGATTTACAATAGCAACAGTCCTGTCATTAAGACACGAGTTTGGAATCAGTTACAACTTGATTTCAATACTAAAAATGTTTGGAAAAAATTAGATGAGCTTTGAAAAAGACGATGAATTGTGACACTACAGACACCAAGTGAAAACCTGTTTTTTTGGGGGGAGCAAGACAGAATAAGAGTGTGTGTTTTGATCCTCAGGCTGTTCAGTGAAGTTCAATGTATACTATACATCCACCTGACAAATTGCAGCTTCATTCTCATCCAGGTTGTCTCTTAGTTGCTGTAGCTCCAGTTCTCTCTCCCTCAGTTTGTCCTCCAGGTCCCTCACCACACCTTCGTAGCCTTCCACTGGACCAGGGGAGCGCCCGCTCTCAGACAGAGGCTGTCCCTGGCCACTTATGGACCCAGAGCCTGTACTCTTACTGGAAGAAGAGCGCCCACTGTCTGAGTTGGAGTGTCCATGGGCAGCGACGGGCCGAGCACTCTTCAGGGGCTCCAGGTGGCCAGCAGAGGCCTCTCCTGATACCAGGCTGTAGCCGGCACTGCTGTAAGGGGGCAGGCTGGAGAGGGAGTTGCGTCCAGAGTCAGACATTGAGCAGGACTGGCTGCCACCGGCACCGTTACAGGCCCCGCTGTACAAGCTGCGTTTCTCAGAGCAAGAGGGAGACACCTCTCTGTGGGTGGGGCTGAGCAGATTCAGATTGTTTTGGCTTTCTGATGTGTTGGCACAGTGGCGAGGGGAAAGGTACTGCATGGAGGTGCGGCTCTTAGGAATTACAGGTTTGAAGGCAGTGGGCCGCAGCACTGTTTTCTCCATGTTCTGCAGGAGGAAAATGACACATTTGAATTCAAGTACCTGAAAGTATTATTTAGGACAAATAATGTCATGTCATACACCTCTGTCTTAAAGCTAGAATGCTGATTAATTCAAAACTCATTATTTGTCACCATTTCTGTTGGTGTTGGTGCTGTTGATGCTGTGCAGTGACAAAACATGTCACCAGCAGAGATTCTGTAATACTGAGCCAGCTATCTTGACTCCATCTGCTCATGAAATGACTGAAAGCTCCAGAACAGGACTCAGAGGTGAGACTGTTTTGTCACCTTCTGTTTTCATGATGACGAATGAACTTTAAAATGCTCCAAATAAAAATGGAAATTTGATCATCTACAGTTCTATGGCAACTGAGCAGACCACCTGCAGATAGACACTACATGATATGACCAAAAGCTCCAGGACTAAATGGACCAGGAAGTCATGTTTGTCTACCTCTTGTTGTATCAGAGCACTTTGGGTAATGGTGCAAATTAATGTGTGCAACTTTTTTTTTATTTTATCCATAAACAATGTTTCACTACAATTTAGATTTTTCAGAACATTTAAATATATGCTCACACCTCAAGGTAAAATTACATGTTTTATAGGTTGACTCAAAAATCATTCAAAGACTCACCTTCTCAAGTTTTCCTGACACAGGGATCAGTTTTGGAGGAGGTCCCCCCATATTCCCATTCAGCCCTGATCCTCCTTTAGTCTCGTCCATGTCACTCCCTGGGCTGGCACCTGTTACATGGTTGTCATTCCAGTCGCCTACATAGTCCTCATTCAAATAAGTGTAGCTTCCACTCCCACTCTCCTTCTCCAGCCCCTTACTAAAAGTAGCAGAGCTCTGTTTCTTGAGTGGCGGGATGCTCTGTAGTAAGAGTTCCTGGGGGGACAGGGAGCCCAGACAGGGGGCGCCTGGTGTGGGCCGTCGGACCCTGGCTCCCAACTCAACACCAGGGGGATGGTCCTTGTAGGGCCCGGGCCGGGCTGTGATAAGACTGCTGACCGTGCCCATAGGATCCAGAGTGGAGGGTGGTGGTGCGTTGATGGGGGGTGAAAGAGCAGAGGGGTGACGTCTGCGGGCTCCTCCACTAAGGCCTGGGCTGTGGGGCTCAGCAGATAAAGGCAAAGCCTGAACAAGGGCCATTGCAGGAGCTCAGAGGGGTCACTCGCTCTAAGAGAGGAAGACAACAGCATGAGTGTCACAAAAATGTTTTAATGCAGCAGTTATTCTCAGTCCAATGTCTTGCAAGTTTCAGGTCATGTTCCACTAAGTCTCAAGTGTCAAGCCCCAGTTTTAAACAAGCCCAATTTCATCAAGTCTCAAATCAAGTCCCAGGTCTTTACGGACAGGTCAAGTCCCAAGGCTTCATAAGGCCACTTTGGTCATTTGCAAGTGTTTCAGGTCTCTGAATGATGGCCATTAAAATGGCAGGATATTTTGAACATGTTCCTGTTAAAGCAGTGACAACAGCAGCTGACATTAAGACCTGTTGCTGTCCTGTCTACTCATCTTCCCCAGGAAACAAACTACTGGTTGAAATATGTTTTTCTTACACATACCAATAAAAGGTCAGATTCAGACTTCCAAATTTCCACCAGGTTACTCTAAAGGAATTTCTTTATACCAAAAACACAGCGACTATGACACAGGCAAAGCAGATGATATACAACAGACTGAAGCATACAAACATCTCAGGCCGTGGTGGCCCACACACAGAACCAAGACAGGCCATTCACTAAGCCTATTCAAGCAGCACAAACAGGCGTTGGGCTTGTGAGGTATGAGGCAGCAGAAGAAAAGGGTCTCTTTTCATCCGAGATGTCAAATAGCTTCTAGCACGCTGGCATTTTCCCTGACAGCAACAAAAGCTTCTGTCTCCACACATCTGATCAGCCTCAGGAATAACCATGGGTTCATAACTAGATAATTACTCAAAGGAGAAGCACAGGGAAGAGGAGACAGGTTGAACGTGCTGCAATACGTCAGCTGTGGGTGCTGAAAGTCCCTGAGTAAATCTAACAGGACACTAAAATATGTAGCTATGAGAAAGTAGGAGGCAAAGTGATAAATACTGACACTGTAACTGGCACAAACACACTGTGATATCAGCAGTTTGTCTCATGCATGGTGAATAGTTGTGTTGTGTGGAGACAATAGCCAACAGGACGCATGATGTCGAGGTCACAGTGCACTGACAACAACAACGACAGTTGTGCTCTAAAAACATGATTGAGTCACAGGATACGAGGATATCCGACCGACGGGTGTGTCCTGATCTGGAGTTTCGGGTTCGTCTAGCGAGGCACAAGGGTACAACTGAAGGATTCAAATTGTGGAGTCTACAATTCGCACTACATTACTCAGTTTGTTGATGAATCCCTGCTGTGTCGAAAAACTGAACAACCTAGGCCTGTATTTATCAGAAAGTGAAAAGTAAAACTTAAGACATAAAGTAAAAAAAAAACAACAAAAAAAAACACTTTTACTCCTCAAAAACTTCAGAATAAAAGCTACTTATCAAACATTTGACTTAAAAATGCTCTTAAATTTAAGAGCACTCCAGAAGTAGCTCCTCAGTGACTGTGATCCAAAAACTAGGCCAGGATGTTTCTTCTATAATAAACAACAAGAGGAAGAAGAGTACCTGGTCTGATACAGTATATTTAGGAATCGAGTAGTTTTGTTTCATTGTTTCCATGTGAAAGGATCCCTTGGTCTTTTTGTGGCTACAAATTTGGCACTGATTTTGTTCACAATCACTGCCTAAACTGGTGTTTGTACTCGTCAGTGTGGTAATAAATTCTCTTTAATACAGGATTCCTCTGACATACCTCGTCCATCAACTGCAGAATATCTTACCAGAATTTGGATTCCATTTCATTCAATTTTATATACGTTTTTGTAAAATAACAGCACTGAATAAACTGTAAAGATATATTAAAAAATGTTTTGCATGTGGCTGTAAGTAGGAACGGGTCATGTCACTGCTCACATTCACTGAAGTACATTTTTTGGTGCAGTCTTAAGTTTGATTCCTAGAGTTGAATAAATACAGGTTCAGTTAAGAAGAACAAGCCTGAGAAGATGACAAGAGTCTGTCCATGTTGGCAAACTGTTGGTGAAGACAGCTAATAAGGTGAAAGCCTTGCTAACAGCAGGCATCTCCACTAGCAGCAGCGCCAGCCAAGTCGTTTTCCAACCTGCCAAGTTTACTGGGAGCCTAAAGGCTAATTCTGCGATTTCACTGTGATTACCACACACCAGTTAGCACCCTCAAAATCTGACTGATCCATACTAGTTTTATTGTCTGTGTGCATATACTTATTTAGTGTCTACTGACCCTCTTATGGCAGTGGCTTTCCTCAGATCAGTATTTCTCACCAGGGGAGTCCAACTCTCTTCACATGTGAATAAGCTCAAATTCCTCTGGATTCAAGAGGACTGAAACTATGCAGAGACTCCACTAAGGAAAGTGCAGGGGTCTCAAACGATTTTTAAAGCCCCCGTCATGTTCATGCGGTGCTGGTTTCCCTTTTGTTGTCAGTGACTGGGGCCTCAAACATTAGATAGGAGAGGAGTGGAGAGGGTCAGAGGGCTGGCAGGGAGGCCAGGACCCTCCTTAGCATCTTAAAGCTTTCACTTTTTTAAAATATAGCCCTGACAACCCTCCATATGCTCACCTGATGCAAAATAAATTGGCATTAAGAACTAATAAGTGCTGAATGGATGACAACCATGTAGCTGAATGAAGACAAGCCTTATAACATTATGTATAGATTTACTGTAGCCTGGCTGCAACTCACCGTTTTCATTATTGTTCATGGTAATTTGCTTAAGTATTTGGTCAATAAAATGCCGCCCCTGGTAGGCTAGTGGTTAAGGCGCAGTGCTCTTGCAGCTGCAGCCCAGGTTCAAATCATGGTTGTGTCAAGGAAGGGCATCCGGCGTAAAACACGTGCCAAATGTTAACTTGCGAGTCGTTAGTGTGACGATTCGCTGTGGTGACCCCTAAACAGGAAAAGCCGAAAGTGACTGTCTTTATGGGTCAATAAAATGTTGACATTGGGCCCATCAGAACTTCCCAGACTACAAAATGTCATCTTTAAATGTAATGTTTTGGCGACATGTAAAAAAAAAAAAATCCTCCCACTTGAAAAACTCGTAAACGTGGGAAACAACTTTTAAAAAAATGTCCTCATGTTTATGGTTATGTGTAGGTTTACATAAAGTGAGATGTAACCTCATAATTTTCAAATCAAATCAAATTTTATTTGTATAGCGCCAAATCACAACAAAAGTCATCTCAGGACACTTTACAAAGTAAGGTCTAGACCTTACTGTTATCAATATTATTACATAGGGAAAACCCAACAAATCCCCCTTTATCAAAGCAATACATTTCCATCTTTTATATATACACACAGCAAAACCAAGACTGCATGGCAGGTAAATTATACTGTAACCACCCCCATGATGTTTACAGTGTCAGCTGACTGTGAGCAGACTGCTTTACCTGGGAAACAGCCCCTCAGTCAGTCAGTGTCTCCTCCAGCTGCAGGAATGTGCAGTCACACCAGCTAATGAGAGTTTAGCCTAAACAGCACTGGTCAGTGTGTGGACAGGACAACTGCAGCCACTGCTTCTCTGATGCATCTCACATTCTCTGTGTCGAGCCTTTTTATCCGTAGCAGCCAACAGTAGCAGTTCTGGGGATCCACTGTCTTACTAATTTTTATAGTATTACTCACAGAGCACAAGAGAAGCAACAGAGAGAGTCTGCAGTTTTTAACATTTCATCCTTCTGTATAAAGAGCTGTGTGTATCGAAACTACAAACCAAAAGCCAAGGCATTACATGGTACACATTTGAGTTCACTGATTTCACCAATTACATATTGTTGTCATGGCCTGATTAACCGTGTCAGTTCCAACACCAGAAGATATCCAGTTTGCTGCAGTAAAAGATGAAAGAAACCATCAAAAATTCACATCCATGAAGCTGGAATTTATAACAACAAAAAACCTAATCAGTTATCAATTGTTGCATATTAATTTTCTGTCAACTGACAAACTGATTAATAGTTTCAGCTCTTCATCAAATGATTACAAACATACTGCCCTGAGCACACCTTGACTCTCTGATCTCTACTGGAGGGATGAACACCATTCTTCCAAAACACATTCCCTCATGTGGTGCTTTGATGCTGATGGTGAAGACGCCTTCTAACACATCACTCCAAAATCTCCTGTCGGTGATCAACTGGGCTGAGATGTGGTCACTGTGAAGGCTGTAACATATGATTCACATCATTTTCATACTCAAACCATTCACTGACCCCTTGTGCCCTGTGGATGGGGACACTGTCATCCTGGAAGAGAGCACTCATTTCATAACTTGTGTCCCATCTGTACATTTTACTGACTGCACCCGAGATCGGCACTTAGAGAACCAAACTGCATATGAGTCTTTTTATCGAGGCCATATTACAAAGACAGTCTACAGAGTTTACTGGCAAGCCTGCAATGACACACAAGCCTGCTTTGAGACAAACTGAGAGCCAGCACTAAATTCCTCTTTGTTAGTACCACACCATAAACACACAGCCACAGAGGTGAGTCTAAAAATACTCCTCACACCAGGTGAAGTGTTGGCACTGGGGAAAAAGAAAAGCTTCGTTACACTGGTCCCTTCTGAGAGCAGCACCACCTGTGACTCAAGGAAGATGTGGAGCAAAGAAGCAGAGACAGAATCAAAGGAAGGAGAGGGTGTTTTCAGCAGGGAGCGTCTGCATGAGCAAACACAAGTGCGGAGATCCCCTCCTCCTTATTCTCCCCTTTCTCTCTTGAAACTGGAACATAGAGGCACAGTGGCAAAACTATTTTAGTTTGGTAGACAGCCTACACAGGCAGACCCCTACCAGCCCTGACAGACAGCAACCCTGTCAGATGTTAATGTTCCTAACTAGGGCATCACTGTCCAGAAACTGTGTAGGCAAGAAATCAATATGCTGGACATGTCAAGTCCTGTCCAGAAACTGTGTAGGCAAGAAATATGCTGGACATGTCAAGTCTAGTTTTGTTTGACCAACCAACAGCAGCTAATGTTCACACCTGAGCTCCTGAAATCAAAGAATGAACAGTAAATGACTTAAATGAGTAACTAATTATCAACACTTGGCAACTACTTTGTGTATCACTTAAAAAAAAAAGATCAACTCTTTGTTTCAGGGTCAATTGTGTACATACTTTTCTATGTACATAGTAGGTTCCTACTTTTCCACTGTAGGAACCTACAGGCCCTTATCAGAACCTTTACCCCTTGCCCTGGGTTCTACTTTTGTTTCCATTGCACTATGCCCACTTTGGAGAGGAGTTCCTGAAGCTAAATTTCTGCACCCCTTAGGAGGCAGTGCTAAATCAAGTTCCTGGAACTCGTCGTTAAATGTCAGCATCGACATATCTCAAGTATCAGCTTTACAAATAAAAAAATTAACAACTGATTGTTATGAAACACAGACATCTCAAATAATTACGTTAATGAACCATTAAAAAAAAAAATGAAAATGGTTTTCACATTTTCTCAGAGGACATCTTCCGCTAGATTAATTCCACTGTCCTAAACCTTAAGATAATTAATTTTTTGTCATATAAGACAAACAGCAAATAGTCACTTTTGAGGAACTGGAACCAGAGACAGGTTGAGATTTTTGTTTCATATTAACTGAAATGATTATTTAATCATAAAATCAGCTGCCAATTAATTTTTATTGACTAATTATTGCAGCTCTATAGATTTCCATTTCCTCTCAGAAACATGGAATTTGTTTTTTTTTTTTTTTTCATATTAGCATCAGGACATCTTTATGAAGTAATCCACTCTCTCTCAGTGAGTGTCAAAGTCACAGCAGCTCTCCACACACATCCCTGTCACCTTGACTGCCACAGTAATAAAGCCGACTTCCTTTCTTCAACATTCCTTTCCTCCGAGTTTCTTACCTGAGTATGTTCCATGCATGTCTGACCAACTGCTCCCCATCATCCACCCTCAGCTCCTTCTCAGGTTTTAGTCGGCTCAAATACTCGCTGTGTTGCTGCTTTCCTGCCTCTGTTTCTCAATAGCCCTTCTAAGGAAAACTTCTCCAACACAAGGGGGAAAAAAAAGCAGCTCGTTCTCAAGCCAAATGCTGCCACTGTGAATGGGAACAAAGTCCCCTCCCCTTCCCGTCTTGTGCCCCCCTCCCACATCCCCCTCTCCCTCTCAGCTCAGTCTAGCCACTCTCTGACAGATACACCTCCTCTCTCCCCACTCTACCCCTCCTCTACCATTTTCTTTGACTAAAGAATCTATACTCTGCAAAGCCCTCTGCTGCCTTTGTCAGGCTGCAAAACAAAGAGAAAGGAGAAAAAAGCGGAAAGCAAGTTGTCAGTTGAAGCCCATTCTGCTCTCTCTGCCCATTTCAAGCAGAAAAAGTAAAAAGAAAGTGGAAGTGTATGTCGATATCACCTCACTTTAGAAAGCCTATATTTCCATCTAACACAAATCAGCTTTTTTTTTTTATCTGTCAAAACAGAGTATATTAAATACAAAAACAGTACAGGATGTGAGCCATTGGAAATTATTTTAGGAGAAAGAGGTGAAACTGGTGGGAACCTGACAGGCATTTAAGTAGGTGAACACTATAATCAAGACTAGAAAAACTATCTTCATAAAGACAGTTCTGCTTCTCATCTGTCATTCCAATCTAAAAGCACAAACTCTAAAAACTAAGTAATTACTGAGCAATTTCTTAATTAAAGAAGCCGTTGCCTTGAATTACAAGCTATCAAAGATCAGCACCGATATTCACTGAAAGTAAAGACAACAGAGGATCACAGGCAGATCTGGATGTATGTAGTTCCAGTAGGTCTTCAAAATACATTCAGGCAACACAACAAATGCATAGTTACCTCTAAACCGACAGAATAAAACAAAACTTGAATACAAAACTCAAGGATATTATGGGGTGATGAAGCTTTAAGTTGCCTGATGCAGCATCTTTGTCAGACGTGCAACCGAAGAACAACTGCATCGACGATTCATCCCATTACAAGACGGTGTCGCCCAACACAGAACTGTCAGCATTACATCCAGTCCATGCAACATTTCCTGTCAATACTATGTACGCGAATAAACAATTTGAAACCTGAGTGGAAAACATAGGCTCCATCAGTAACAGTGAAAACCACTAAAGTACACAGAGAGGCAATACCGTACAGTTGCCTCTCTTTATACGTTACTGATGAAAAATGCTGGTCATAAATAGCATAAAACATTTAAATAATTTAGCAAACAGCTGCTTATTTACACATCCAGCAGTTACACAGTAACATTAACATCGGAGTCATGTTTCTGGCCACCTGATGAATGCGAGTGACATGTTTTGGTGAGTTGGTTTGTAAGAGGATTTTCAATGAAACCAGCTGCTGCTGCTGGAAATCAGGTCACAGAGCAGTGAGAGAGAACCCAACAGTAACACTGTGTGCCAGAAAACCACAACAATGAGCTCCAAGTTGCTAAAACACCCCAAAGAGATGAGGCTGCAGGATGGAGTGATCACTCATCATTACAATCCATTAATATAAACATACTGAGCAATGAAACTTTAAGGACTTAAGTTTTGACATCAGTTTGACAAATTTTTCCTTAAAGCTGTAATCAACATGTGATACCCATGTGTTAATTTGTGCCTTGAACTGTAACCTTCACTGAGCTCAACAATGTTACCAGCTAAATGTTCCCTTTTGTCTTTGATCGAACATTTAGGACGACAGAAGTGTAATAAACAGTCTGACATCCTGAGCAACGCATCGGTCAGCCTCTAGCAGTCGATTCTCCTGTGACAGTGGTAGCGTTCAGTCTTTGCCATGACCTGTAATCCACCATCTGCCCAAAATAAATGGGGAAAAAAAAGAAACAACAGGACAAGATGATGCGGTTGCTCAGCTGCTTAGCTCCTAGATGAAGAGAGGGGTAAAGTAGGGTACTAGAAGTAGGCTATGCCCTGCCACCGCCTTACACACACATCTTTCACCTTCCTCTTCCCCGCCACTAGAACTGGGTCATGCTAGTTTGTCCTTCAAGCAACGCTGAGGAAAGAGTTCAAGGTCACTGTTGGTCACATCTCAGTGGTAGGTCTGAGGAATGTGCCACAAAAAAGTCCAGACCTGCTGCAGACAAAGCAACAGAAACCACTCTTAGAGCCCAAGACTGGAGGACAAACATCACAAAACAGCCGCCACGAGTGCTGGGCTTGAGGAGGCAGGCTGCAAATCACCACTGTGAATGCCACCATTAATACCATCTCTTTATAGGCGAGACGAGGGGCTATAGTGACTCAGCCCCTTCTCAGGAAGTGGGTTTAAAGACCCAAGCAGCAAAGTAAAAGGTCTTGAAAAGTGCAAACAAGCAATTAATGCAAATCCCTGTAAAAGGGTCTGAAATATAACTTACCATAGTCATGAATATGTTTTCTCTTGGCTGCCACAGACGGGCACATTTTCACAAAATGTGATATGTCGGTAAATTATTTATTTAAACTAAGATTTGTTCTCACTACTGTTTGTTATTAGTTGAGGTTTATGTCAGTGAAAATGTCTTAAATTCAATTTCCTGTAGTATTAAAAAAAAAAGAGCCTTAACTTGAACCAAATAACTCTGTGGCAGGTTAGCCCAGAAAAACCACAAGAGAAATTTAAGTAAAAATTCCAGCTAAATCACATTATTCCAGTAACGCTCGGGACATCTGTCTGCTGGATTCTGGTGTACTCTCCCCTTCATCCTACACTACCAGTCAACAGTTTGGACATACTATGCCATTCAATTCAACAGGAAAGTGTGTCCGACCTTTTCATTAGTAGTGTATAACATATCCTACAGAGGTACAGAAAAATTTAGGGTACCGCCTGTGGACCAATTTCTGGTGAACAGTGAAAGTGGCTCCTTAGAGGCCACAAATCTAGTTTATCTGTATCTATAGCAGAGGCCCAGCAGGTGGACATCCATCTTAGGCTGAGCTGCCGTCTCTGCGGTCCATCAGCCTGCTTCCTTCTATATTTTCATAACAACGACTCATGTCCTGGACCAAAAACCCGACACAAAGCTAGGCCATCCATCAGCGTTCACACTTCCTCTGCGTGGGGACATCACTCCCGCTGGACACTGCAGCTAAAACTGGCCTCTACCAGCCGGCCCTTTGGACTACTTATTTCCAAAATAATCCACTATGGCACAAAGCAATCCACACAGAGCTCTGAAATAAAACTTTGCACTGACAGAGTCAGGGGGTGGTTCATCAGTTTTAGACAGAAATGAAAAGATGGAAGGGAGAGAGTTTTCTAGACTGGAATAACTACTCCTAGCAAGTCCCATCATAAATCCACAGAACTAGGCTGGCCAAACTGAGCTGGCAGGGACCGGACCTATCCACACTCTGATTTACTGTATAATGTGCTGCAGAGATTAGGGTTACGCCTCCAGCTCTGGAACTACAGTAGAACCTTATCCATGATTAAGATCTATTGCTAACTCCCACACAGTGGGAATGTGTTAACATTCACACATAGTAGGATGCACACTGCGATGTGCGCTGCAGCAAATTCTTGACATCATGTCTCAAACAAAAATGGCTTTTAATGAAAAAAAAAAAAAAAAAAACATGCTTGGTCTCAACTTAAAGATAGAACCTTTTGAATGAAAATTCCTGCAGTAATACGTTTGTAGCCTTAAACGTCAAGATCACAGAAAAAGACTGAGTCCTGTGTCATATCAGGGAACAGTTTGTTCAAATTTAAACAACCCTGCATCCAAAAGGCTCCACTTACCTATCAATGACACCCTGTCTTCAGCTTCTGGAGAAAAGCATGGAGGTACAGGTCGTTCGAGCATCCCAGGAACTCGGCGAGGAGATCTTCACACCTCTGTTCTGCCACACTGATGGGATAAAAAGCAAAATAAAGCATGTTGTTGAATCAGCGGAGGGCAAGCAGTGAGACCATGTCCACTGTGCAGAGCCATAAAACCTGAAATGTTACAAGTGTGTTTATAGAGAGGTCAGTAGAAACGAGGAAAATCTGAGTCATAATGGCAGAAAAGCTGAGGGCTGAGACTGAGGGGATTTTCCATGTCAACAAGAGTGAATATTAAACCCAAGAACCGGCACCCAGTCACAGAACAACTATTCCATGGGTAAAGTACAAATGTCATTGTTGATTCTATTTTTGTGAAGCACCACAAATGCTTTATTTTTTTTAATTATTTTCTAACATCACAGGTTTATACTTAGGACAAACACAGCGTTCGAGTGAAAAATCACTGTTTACAGAAATTCTAACACATTTTGGATCAACTTCTGTTTTAACATCTAAAAAGACAAACAACGAGACACAAACTGCCACCATCTGAAAAGAGTTCAGCCCATCTGCAAGTCATTAAACTGGTGCATTAGTGGGAAAGCAATGTTTAAGCTTCGAGTAGAAGAGCATGACAAAAAACTATGAAAAATGCCAGAGGTGAACAGAACAGACTATTCACAGTTCTGCTGCCATGAGAACATTATAATTGGAAAATATTACACACTGTGTTATTTCCAGCAAACAATAACATGTTTAGTAGAATGAAGTACTGACACAGAAGAAACACAATAGCAACATATGATGCTGTAAAAACATACAAGCCAAATCTTCTGTATATGACTTAAGCCAAGCATCTACAGGTGTTAATACCACGGGAGTACACAACCTGATCTACCAAATAAACCAACACCGAGTCTCTCAGTTTCCAGATCTTGCACTTGATCTGGAGTTTAAACCAAAGCCTGAACCCTGGGGTCTTGGTGAACTGTAGCAGCAGCAGGAACAGGAAGTGGGTGTGGAGTAGTGGCTAACTGGTTAGTGCATACCCTGATTTATCAGCCGGAACAAGGATATTTGCTAAAATTATCGTTTCTTGCCTGAAGGGAAACTGCCACTGTAGGGGCTTTACTTAAAGCTAAGCAAACCTTCAGCTCTTCCATCTGTGCCAAACATACTGTTAGTACATAACAGACAGATGGAAGTACCTAGGATCTGTGGCTTCCCACATGTAATGCAGCTCAATCCAGATATCTTTAAGACAGCAGTTCCACAGCACCACTGCCAAACCATAGAGTTTACTTTGAGATTTGTAAAGTAATAACTTATCAGTGTTTGTTTTAAAGGTTAACAGTTGGCCTACAAATGACAAACAGGCGTTTGCTTAGGAGTGCCACTCCCCTCACCTGCTACTCAACACTGAAGGGGACAATCCTCTTCAAAAGAAAACCAAATAGCAGAGGGAGAGATACAGAAAGAAATGCATGTGTTCCACAGAAGAGGAGCAGAGGGGTCCATGTACTTTGCAGTCATTGGATTTTCGTTTGGAATTGAGAAAACCAAAATCAGAAAACGAACGGTTTCTCTATTTCCATTTAGAAACAGGAAAACGAAAAACAGCTCGTTTTTTGATTTTCGTTTTCCTGTTTCTAAATGGAGATCGCGAAACCGTTCGTTTCCTGATTTTGGTTTTCTCAATTACAAACTAAAATCCAATGACCGCAAAGTACACGGACCCAGAGGGCAGCACTGTGCTTACCATTACATTACATTACTCATCTGCCGTCAAAGGTGTGGGTCTGACTGACCCACAAATCCATCATCAATCAATGAAGTGAAGGAGAAAAAGATGTTACTTGTTCATCGCCATCAGAATGAACCATTTTATTATAGAGAAAGGCTTAAAAGGGTCTACACTGCTTTCATGACAGTTCAAAGCAGATAATCTACAAATAAACATCTGCAGTGAATACGGGCCCTTCTGAATGAAATGGTGATTGATTAAATATGTAACAAAGTTTCCTCACAATTTCCACTTTAAGTGCTTCTTTACAATTTCATTTATATCTGCCTCCTTCTGCTCTTGCTCCATCTTTAAAGATCATTCTAGCTATTTACCAAGTAGGGTACACAGCATATAAAGCAACTTCCAGTGTTAAAAATATGCCTCATAGCATAGAATAGTTTTTTGAAAAAATAAAATAATTCCATGAGGAACACAAGACACCAGAAGATCATTCATACTACAAAATTAACAACTAGCAATTTATAGCCTGATTACATTTATAATCATTCAGCATTAGCGTGGGGTGGCTGTGCTCGGGAGGTAGGGTGGTCCCCCAACTGACTGCAGGGTTGGTGGTGTCTCTACTCCACATGTCGAAGTGTCCTTGGGCAAAACACTGATCCCCAGGCTGAATGCAACGACAGAGAAGCGGTCCTTGGGCAAAACACTGAACCCCAGGCTGAATGCAATGACAGAGAAGCACTACATAAGTGCAGTCCAGTTACTATTTTAGTGTGTGCAGTTGTGCATGTTTCAGCATCACAGCGTAAAAGGGTTTACTGTTAAACTGTACATAGGTGGAGGTTACATTAAATAGCATAAGGTGCAGGAAATACATTTAGATGCCTGTTGGGTAGGGCAACGTAACAGAGAAGGAATGAGGATAAATGAGGATAAATGAGGCTCTGTATCTGCCAGGCATTCAAGCACGCACACACAAACACACTTGAACACGCATATATAAAATATACAAATATGAGGCCAGGGGACTATTAAAGAACAGGGTGGTGGCCCATTTCTTCCTTAACCAAACACTACACCCCACAGCACTTTAGCTTAGGTTTATTATTCTAATGGTCAGCCATGTGCCAAAAGGTTTCAGGCAGATCAACAACCTCAAAAAGAGCCGGTGGGTCCAACACACCCTGAACAAAGGCCATTCAGAAAACAGGGGAAATGCTGTAGCACAAAGACAGCATGCAGACGTGTTGACAATGCCACACTCTAGATATCTGACACAGTGCTAAAGTCCACACAAGACTAGCTGAAAACATGCAATTCATATTCACTTGACAGTTTCAGTTGTGGTCAGGAACACAGTGACAGGATAAACAAGTTATTAGAGAAGATTAAGTGTTTAGAGACACTGAAAGCATACAGCGTAGCTGTTTATATAAAAATGATAAAATGGGCGGAGGGTGGGAAGAGAATCCACTGTGGAAACTGGCATGTCCGTCTGTTTGGACAGCAAAAAGATGACCCACATGGAAAGCATCACATTCCATCTTTAACAACGCAAATTCTTCATTTTTCCAACATACTCTATTTAGGATCAGCCAGGCCAAACCTCAAACATCCCCTACATTTTAAAACCCTACTGAGAGAAAATTCCAACCATTTCTTCTGTACTGTGAGGAGTGAGTGAGGATGAGGTGGAAACAATGAAGGACCAGGTGTGCAGCTGTAGGTGTGGTGATCTGCTCACAATTAAGATGTTTACCACATTTTATGACTATAACGTTAAAGTCTGCAACTAAATATTTTCATGATCAATACATTGGCGGATCATTTTCTAGATTAAGCAGTTAGCCGTCTGGTCTCTACAATGTCAGAAAATACACCTCTCAGTTTCCATGAGCCAACGTGACATCTTGAAATGTCTTATTTGATCAATACTGCAAATCCCAGATATTCCGCTTAAACAGAGGAGAGTAAAACTGCTGGCATAGTTATAATTTGGGAGTAATTTGAGCTTTGTAGCATCAGTACTTTGGTATCACATTAGCAGTAACCAGCGCGTTCTACTGGACATTTACTCGCTAAGCAGCTCATGCTAGCTTCATGCTGACTGCTGCAGTTTGTAGTTCGCCCCTCACATCACATGCTGTTTTGTAGCAAAGATGTAAGCTATGGATGCCAGGTTGTAGCAGATTATGGTGGCAGCTTGTTTTGACTTCTCACTAAATCTTTTATGCTGAAAAGAAATTGAGTTGTTTCAAGTATTCTTAAGTGTAACATAGGTCATGTTTTTACTTTTTTTTTTTTTTTTTTTTTTTTAAGCACACATTTACTTATCATACAACCCCCCA